ACTATTCCTGTAGACAATGACGACATAAAGATCAAAGCCAAAGGCTCCGCAATCTCCTCCCTAGCTTCCCAGAGAATCCTAGGATAAATCCCATCGGGCCCAGGGGACTTATCTATTTTCACACCTTCCAGAATTGCTAACACCACCTCCTTATGAACCTCAATCCCGTCTCGTCTAATAGCCTGTATCTCAGTATTCTCCTCGACTACATTGTCTTTTTCCTGTGTGAATACTGACGAAAAATATGCATTTAGCGCCTATCCTATCTCTTTGGACTCCACGCACAACTTCCCACTACTGTCCTTGACTGGCCCTAATCTTACTCTAGTCATTCTTTTATTCCTGACATACCTATAGAAAGCTTTAGGGTTTTCCTTGATCCTACCTGCTAAAGACTTCTCATGTCCCCTCCTGGCTCTTATTAGCTCTCTCTTTAGGTCCTTCCTGTCTAACTTGTAACTCTCAAGCGCCCTAACTGAGCCTTCACGCCTCATCTCTACATAAGCCTCCTTCTTCCTCTTGACAAGAGATTCAACTTCTTTAGTAAACCACGGTTCCCTCGCTTGACCACTTCCTCCCTGCCTGACAGGTACATACTTCTCAAGGACACACAGTAGCTGTTCCTTGAACAAGCTCCACATTTCAATTGTGCCCAGCCCCTGCAGTTTCCTTCTCCATCCTATGCATCCTAAATCTTGCCTAATCGCCTCATAATTGCCTTTTCCCCCAGCTATAACTTTTGCCCTGCGGTATATACCTATCCGTTTCCATTGCTAAAGTAAACGTAACCGAATTGTGGTCACTATCACCAAAGTGCTCACCTACCTCCAAATCTAACACCTGGCCTGGTTCATTACCCAGTACCAAATCCAATGTCGCCTCGCCTCGTGTTGGCCTATCTACATACTGTGTCAGGAAATCCTCCTGCACACATTGGACAAAAACTGACCCATCTAAAGTACTCCAACTATAGTGTTTCCAGTCAATATTTGGAGTCAATATTTGGAAAGTTAAAGTCCCCCATAACAACTACCCTGTTACTTTCGCTCCTATCCAGAATCATCTTTGCAATCTTTTCCTCTACATCTCTGGAACTTTTCGGAGGCCTATAGAAAACTCCCAACAGGGTGACCTCTCCTTTCCGGTTCCTAACCTCAGCCCATACTACCTCAGTCGACGAGTCCTCATCAAACGTCCTTTCTGCCACCGTAATACTGTCCTTGACTAACAATGCCACACCTCCCCCTCTTTTACCACCTTCCCTGATCTTACTGAAACGTCTAAACCCCGGAACCTGCAACAACCATTCCTGTCCCTGCTCTATCCATGTCTCCGAAATGGCCACAACGTCGAAGTCCCAGGTACCAACCCATGCTGCAAGTTCACCCACCTTATTCCGCATGCTCCTGGCATTGAAGTAGACACACTTCAAACCACCTTCCTGCCTGCCGGTACACTCCTGCGACCTTGAAACCTTATTCATGACCTCACTACTCTCAACCTCCTGTACACTGGAGCAACAATTCAGGTTCCCACCCCGCTGTTGAATTAGTTTAAACCCTCCCGAAGAGCATTAGCAAATTTCCCCCCCAGGATATTGGTACCCCTCTGGTTGAGGTGTAGACCATCCCGTTTGTAGAGGTCCTCTTGCAGGGTTTTTGAATATATCCAGTCAGGTCCTGAATTCTAATCATTTGGCCTTTAAAAGATTCCTGCATGTCAGATGTGGATTTACCCTCAAATAGCTGCTCCCTATCTAAATTCTCCAGTTCCTGCCTAATATTGTGGTACTTAGCTCTCCCCAAATGTAATACTGTCACCCAAGGACTACTTTTGTTCATATCTGTAAGTAACTTAAAACTTAGAGAATTATGGTCACTGTTCCTGAAATGCACCTCCATTGAAACTTTAATTTCCTGGCCAGGCTCATTCCCTAATACCAGGTATAGTATGGCCCCATCCTGAGTTGGACTAAAAAAACCACCCTCGACCCACCAAGCAATCTCTAGCAACACCACCACCTCCCCACACCAACACCGCTCCCCACCCGCATCCCCAGTTCAAGCCCCTGATGCTAAGGAGTCCCAGTCAAAACAACAACCCTATTGTTGTGAGAGAGATAGTAGGATCTGCAGATGCTGGAGAATCCGAGACAACAAGGGCTGGATGAACACAGCAGGCCAAGCAGCATCATAGGATCAGAAAGGCTGACGTTTCGGGCCTGGACCCTTCATCTTTTTGTTGTAACATTTTTCTGCAGTCTGACCACTTACCTGTTCCTGTCTGATCCACTGGCTGTTGCGAGGCCTGTAGCACAATTCCATCAAAGCGATTGTATCCTGAGCTGTACCAATATGGCCTCACTGGATGAGTTCACCCCCTCACAAACATGTCCTCCCTCAGTACAGCTACGATATTCTCCCTTATCAGTAATGCAAACTCTCCCACCTCTTTTACATTCATTTCTATTGTTTCTGAAACATCTAAAACATGTACTGATAAGCTGCCAGTTTTATCTCCCTCTCAACCAAGTCTCCAATAGCTACAACACCATAGTTACAGGTATTAATCAAAACTCTAACACCTGGGTATGGCCAGGGCAGGGTCACGGCGAGGGGCTGGGTGCGGTCAGGGTTGTGGGTCTGGTCTTTGTTCCCCTGTTCCTTTGATCTAAAGCTTGGTTCACTGTGGTCTTCATGCCTCGCTGTGTGACACTGACTCATTTCGGTTCCTTGTTTTGCAGCCGGACACACTTGGAGCTCTGCCAAATTTACGTGAACTCTGGTTAGACAGGAACCAACTTACTGCACTGCCACCGGTAAGAGCAGAGAGCTCCCAAGTAGAAAGAGTTTGAGGTTTCAGTCACAATGAGCTGTCAGTTTACAGGACTACAGGTGGAGAGCCGTGCTGGGAGTTTGGTTGGGGATTGAGACAGAACAACGGGGAGAGAGAACAGGGCAGTGGGATTAGTTTGGGGATCGATACAGAGCTATGTGGAGAGTGCAGGGCAGTGGGATTAGTTTGGGGATTGATACAGGACTATGGGGAGAGTGTGGGACAGTGGGATTAGTTTGGGATTGATACAGGGCTATGGAGAGAGAGTAGGGCAGTGGGATTAGTTTGGGGATTGGAGGGCTATGGGGAGAGAGCGGGGCAGTGAGATTAACTTGCGGATCGATACAGGGTTACGGAGAGAGAACGGAGCAGTGGGATTAGTTTGAGGATCGATACAGGATTATGGTGAGAGCGCGGGGCAGTGGGATTAGTTTGGGGATTGGTACAGGGTTTTGGGGAGAGACAGGGATTTGTTTAGACTGTGGAATATAATTCCTGCACTGTTCCTTATTCCAGGAACTGGGAAACCTGAGACGTCTGGTGTGTCTGGATGTTTCAGAAAACAAACTTGAGACGCTCCCCAATGAGATCAGTGGACTCGTGGCATTGACTGACCTCCTTCTCTCCCAGAACCCATTGGAATCCATACCAGATGGCATTGGTGCGTAGAGTGACAAGAGAAGTGTACCCAAATCCCTGGGGCTGGGAGGGTGTTCCTGATACAGAGACACGGACTGCAGCGAGCCTTGGTTCAGCTGACTGGGGTGAGAAAATGGGGTTGATCAGTAAGTTTGAGGATGATATAGAAATTGGTAGGCAGTAAATTGTGAAGAGCATAACCTTAGATTACAGGAGGGCATAGATGGGTTGATCGGTGACAAATGGAATTCAATAGGGATAAGAATGTGAGATGTACTTGGGCAGGACAAACAAGGCCAGGGAATACATGATGAATAGTAGGACCCTACGAAGCACTGAGGATCAGGAGGACCACTCCTTAGGGTATCGGGGCAGGTGGATAAAGCGGTTATGAAGGCATATGGGAGATTTGTCTTTATTAGCTGAGGCAGAGAGTTCAAGAGTATAAAATGCTGGTGAGGCAACAGCCAGTGTGTGCCGTTCTCAGTCCATGTTCTAGGAGGGATGTGATTGTGTTGGAGAGGGTGCAAAGGACATTTACCAGGATGTTGTCTGGGCTGGAGAGTTTGTTATGTAGAGAGATTGGACAGATTGGGTTTGTTTTCCTTTGAGTAGAGGAGAGTGAGAGGGAGCATGATGGAGATTTAGAAAATTGAGGGGCATAGATGGAGGCAATAGGAGCTTTTCCTGATGGAGAGATCAACGACCAAGGGCATAGATTTAATGGAAGAGGCAGGAGGTTGAGAGGGGATTTGAGGAAAAGCTTTTTCACCCAAAAGGTGGTGGGAATCTGGAGCTCACTGCTTTTAGGGGTCACAGAGTCAGAGACCCACATAACATTTAATCATCTTTAGACGTATACTTGTATTACCAAGGTACACGAGGCTGTGCACCAAGTGCTGGAAAATGGGATTAAAATAGTTCAGTATAGTAGGAATTGCCGATGCTGGAGTCTGAGATAACAAGGTGTAGAGCTGGATGAACACAGTAGGCCAAGCAGCATCAGAGGAGCAGGAAAGCTAATGCTTCGGGTCAAACGTCAGCCTTCCTGCTCCTCCGATGCTGCCTGGCGTGCTGTGTTCATCCAGCTGTACACCTTGTTACCTTAGAATAGTTAGGTGGCTGTTTTGACCAGCACGGACTCCATTGTGGTTGGTTGGGTGGTAGAGTCTCATAGAATGAAACAGCGTGGAAACGGACTCTTCATGCTGACCACATGCTGACCAGCTATCCTAAACTGATCTAATCCCATTTGGCTCATATCCCTCTAAACCTTTCCTATTCATCTACCCATCCAGATGCCTTTTAAATCTTGTAATTGTCTCCACCTCCTCCACTTCCTCTGGCAGCTCAATCCAAACATGCACCACCTTCTGCATGAAAAGGTATCCCTCAGGTCCCTTTTAAATTTTTCCCCCCTCACCTTAACCCTAAGCCCTCTAGTTTTGGACTCTCCTACACTGGGGAAAAGACCTTGTCTATTTACCCTATCCATACCTGTCATAATTTTATAAACCTCTATAAGGTCACCCCTCAGCCTCCGACACTTCAGGGAAAATAGCCCCAGCCTATTCAGCCTCTTCCTCTTGCTCAAACCCTCCAAACCTGGCAGCCTCTTTGTAAATCTTTTCTGAACTCTTTCAAGTTTAACAACATCCTTCCAATCACGCTGCTGGCTGCCTATTCCTGTTCCTTGGGTATAGTTTCCCTGGATTGGACACAGGGCCGAGCTCTAGAATCAGGCCTGCCCTCAAGTTCTCAGATGATCTTCTTGTGATTCCAGGCCAGTTGAAGCAGTTGTCAATTCTGAAGGTGGATCAGAACCGGTTAACAGAGCTAACTGAGGCGGTGGGTGAGTGTTTCCACCTGACGGAGCTCATTCTCACTGAGAACCTGCTGACGGTAAGTGGACAACGCACTGGACTTCATGCTTACGCTGTTTATTTAACACACTGTGTAGGTTCTGTCCCATCTGATCAGGATTTTAAACACATGTCTGAATTGCAATCACATTGGGTGCCACAGCCCAAGCTGCTTTCAATCTATGAAAAGGAAGAGAGAAGCCAGAGAGAATAAGGCTGGGGAAATAATAATGAGGAACCAGGAAATGGCAGAGGAGCTGAATAAAAACTTTTCATCAGAGTGGGAGACACTAATATAATCCCAAAATTACTCAGTAATCAAGAGGAGGTGAGGAAATAAAAACAGTAATTATCACTCATGAAAATGTGTCCGGGAACCACATGGGGTGAAAGGACCAGCCATTCTCTGGACCTGACAGGATGGATCCTGGGATTTGAAGGGAAGCAGCTACAGAGACAGTGGATGCACTGGTTGTAACTTTCCCAGAATCCTTACATTCTGTAAAAGTCCCAAAGAATTGGAAAGCTGCCAGCATAACCACTTTATTTCGAAAGGGAAGGAGAGACAAATCAGGCACAGGTAGTTCTCCTATAACATGATAGTTGCGTTCTTGTGTGACCTCATGCTGTAAAAAATTGCCATGAGAAATCGCGATAGAAAATCACTACAACTGTACAGCACAAAGTTTGCGTTATCCAAACATCATCCACCATTCATCTGTCGTGTTACAGCCAATACACGGTAACGAAACAAGCGTTACATAGAACAAAAAAAACATAGAACATAGAACAGTGCAGCACAGTACAGGCCCGTCGGCTCACAATGTTGTGCCGACCTATTATCCTACTAAGATCAATCTACCCTGCGTACCCTACATTTTACTATCCTCCATGTGCCTATCCAAGAGTCGCTTAAAAGTCTCAAGTATCTGACTCCACTACCACTGCCGGCAGCGCATTCCACACGCCCACCACTCTCTGTGTAAAGAACCTACCTCTGACATCTCCCCTATACCTTCCTCCAATGACCTTAAAATTATGTCCCCTCGTAATAGTCATTTCCGCTCTGGGAAAAAGTCTGTGGCTATCCACTCTATCTATGCCTCTCATTATCTTGTACACCTCTATCAAGTCACCTCTCATCCTTCTTCGCTCCAATGAGAAAAGCCCTAGCTCCTCAACCTTTCCTCATAAGACCTGCCTTCCAGTCCAGGCACCATCCTGGTAAATCTCCTCTGCACCCTCTCCAAAGCTTCCACATCTTTCCTGTAATGAGGTGACCAGAACTGAACACAATATTCCAAGTGTGGTCTAACCAGAGTTTTATAGAGCTCTAGCATAACCTCGTGGCTCTTAAACTCAATTCCCCTGCCAATGAAAGCCAACACACCATACGCCTTCTTTATAACCCTATCAACTTGCGTAGCAATTTTGAGGGATCAATGGATGTGGACCCCAAGATCCCTCTGTTCCTCCACGCTGCCAACAGTCCTGCCGTTAACTCTGTATTCTGCATTCAAATTCAACCTTTCAAAATGAATCACTTCACACTTTTACCTGTAACTATAAGGCCAGCTAGCATAATGTCTGTTATTGGGAGAATGTTAAGAGTCTATGAGAAAGGATGTAATAGCAAGCATTTAGAAATCCATTGTATTATCAAGCAGAGTCAGCACAGCTTCATGAAGGGGATATCATGCCTGGTAAATTTACCAAATTTTTTTGAGGTGGTAAAAAGCAGAATAGATAAAATGGGAAGTAGTGGATGCAATAGATTTGGATTTTTAGGAAGTCTTTGATAAGGTATTAAACATAGAAACATAGAAGACAGGAGCAGGAGGAGGCCATTCAGCCCTTTGAGTCTGCTCCGCCATTCTTCATGATCATGGCTGATCATCCAACTCAATAGCCTAATCCTGCTTTCTCCCCATAACCTTTGATCTCACTCACCCCAAGTGCTATATCTGGTCACCTCTTGAATACATTCAGTGTTTTGACATTGATTACTTCCTGTGTTAATGAATTCCACAGGCTCACCACTCTTTGGGTGAAGAAATGTCTCCTCCTCTCCGTCCTAAGTGGTCTACCCCGAATCCTCAGACTGTGACCCCTGGTTCTGGACACACCCACCATCGGGAACATCCTCCCTGCATCTACCCTGTCCAGTCCTGTTAGAGTTTTATACATCTCTGAGATCCCCCTTCATTCGCCTGAACTCCAGCAAAAACAATCCCAACCTAGTCATCTCACGTTATACGTCAGACCCACCATCCCTAGATTCAGCCTGGTAAACCTTCATTGCACTCCCTCATGAGCAAGAGCATCCTTCCTCAGAAAAGGAGACCAAAACTGCACACAATACTCCAGGTGTGGTCTCACCAAGGCCCTGTATAACTGCAACAACACATCCCTGCTCCTGTACTCAAAACCTCTCGCGATGAAGGCCAACATACCATTTACCTTCTTTACCACCTGCTGTACCTGCATGCTTACCTTCAGCAACTGGTGCACAAGGACCCACTGCGCACTCCCCTCTCCCAGTTTACAGCCATTTACGTAGTAATCTGCTGCCTTGTTTTTGCTTCCAAAGTGAATAATCTCATATTTATCCACATTATACTGCATCTGCAATTGATTTGCCCTCTCACCTAACCTGTCAAGATCATGCTGAAGGATCTCTGCATCTTCCTCAGTTCACCCTCCCACCCAACTTGGTATCAAGTTGTAGCAAACTTGGAGATGTTACATTTTGTTCCCTCATCCAAATCATTAATATATATCATGAATAGCTGGGGTCCCAGCACCGATCCCTGTGTCATCCCAGTAGTTACTGCCTGCCAATTTGGAAAGGACCCATTAATTCCTACTCTTTGTTTCCTCTCTGCCAAACAGTTTCCTATCCATCTCAATACACTTCCCCCATTCCATGCGCTTTAATCTTGTACATTGCTCTCTTTTATGTGAGACTTTGTCAAAAGCTTTCTGAAGGTCCAAATATACTACATCGACTGGCTTCTCTTGTCAACTACTAGTTAGATCTTCATAGAATTCCAACAGATTTGTCAAGCATGGTTTCCCCTTCATAAATCCACGCTGACTCTGTCTGATCCTGTCACTGTTTTCTAAATGCTGTGATATAAAATCCTTGACAATGGATTTGAGAATTTTCCCCATTATCGATGTTAGGCTCACTGGTCTATAATTCCCTGTTTTCTCTCTACCTCCTTTTTTGAATATTGGAGTGACATGAGCCACCCTCCAATCTGCAGGGTCTGTTCCAGAGGCTAAAGAATCCTGGAAGATAACCACCAATGCATCCACTATTTCTAAAGTTACTTCCTTAAGTACTCTGGAATGTAGATTATCAGACCCTGTGGATTTATTGGCCTTCAATCCCATCAATTATCCCAACACCATTTCTCTATTAATATTAATCTCCCTCAATTCTTCTCTCTCACTAAATCTTGCATCCTCCAACAATTCTGATAGCTGATTTGTGCCCTCTTTTGTGAGGACAGAACCCAAGTATGTATTCAGTTGCTCAGCCATTTCTATGTGCTGTACTATACATTCCCCTGTTTCTGTCTGTAGGCTTGTAAATGTAAAGCCTTACATTTGTCTTTACCAATCTCTTTCTCTTCATGTACCTATAGAAACTCTTAGCGTCAGTCCTGATGTTCCCTGCAAGCTTAATTTCATGCTCTGTTTTTCCCTTGTTAATCAATCCCTTGGTCCTTCTTTGCTGAATTCTAAACCGCTCCCAGTTCTCAGATTTATTATTTTTCTTGGCCAGTCTGTGTGCTTCTTCCTTGAATTTGATACTATCTCTTATTTCCTTTGTAAGCCATGGATGGACCCTCTTACCCATTTTGTTTTTGCGACAGACAGGAATAAACAGTTGTTGCAGTTCCCCTATGCGTTGCTTGAATGTTTGCCTTTGCCTTCCACTGTTATCCCTTTAAGTAATTCTCCCCGATCTATCAAGGCCAACTCATGCCTCATATCTTCATTGTTTCCTTTATTAATGTTCAGCACCCTATTCTCTGAATCAACTACCTCACTCTCCATCTTGATAAAAATTCTATCAAGTTATGGTTGCTCTTTCCCAAGGGGTCTCGGACAGCGAGATTGACGATGATTCCCTTCTCATTACACAGTACCCAATCTCAGATGGCCTGCTCTAAAGTTGTTTCCTCCACATATTGGTCAAGAAAACCATCCCATATACATCCAGGAATTCCTCCTCTATGGCATTGTGGCCAAATTGATTTGCCCAAACTATGTGCAGATTAAAATCACCCATGATCACCGATATTCCCTTATCACATGCATCTCTAATTTCCTGTTTAATGCCATTCTTGACATCACCACTGCAATTGGAAGGGTCTGTATATGACACCTACTCATGTTTTTTGCTCCTTGGCATTTCTCAACTCTCCCAATCAGACTTAACATTGTCAGAGCTGATATCCTTTCTCACTCCTCGGATACTGAAGCAGTCCATGTTCACATGCAACAAGATCTGGACAATATGCAGGCTTGGGCTGACAAGTGGCAAGTAACATTCGTGCCACACAAATGCCAAGCTATGACCATCACAATAAGAGACAATCTAACCACCACCCCTTGACATTCAATGGTGTTACCATCACTGAATCCCCCACTATCAACATCCTGGGGGTTACCATTGACCAGAAGATCAACTGGACTCACCACATAAACACAGTAGCTACAAGAGCAGGCCAGAAACTGGGGAATACTGCAGCGAGTAACTCACCTCCTGACTCCTCAAAGCCTGTCCACCATCTACAAGGCACAAGTCAGGAGTGTGATGGAATACTCCCCACTTGCCTGGATGAGAGCTTCCCCAACAACACTCAAGAAGCTTGACACCATCCAGGACAAAGCAGCTGCTTGATTGGCACTACATCCACAAGCATCCACTCCTTCCACCACCGACGCTCAGTAGCTGCAGTGTGTACTATCTACAAGATGCTCTGCAGAAATTCACCAAAGATCCTCAGACAGCACATTCCAAACCCAGAACCACTTCCATCTTGAAGGACAAGGGCAGCAAACATATGGGAACACCACCAACTCCAAATTCCCCTCCAAGTCACTCACCATCCTGTTCGCCGTTCCTTCACTGTTGTTGGGTCAAAATCCTGGAATTCCCTCCCTAATGGCATTGTGGGCCAACCCACAGCAGGTGGACAGCAACGGTTCAAGAAGGCAGCTCACCACCACATTCTCAAGGGGCAACTAGGGACGGGCAAGAAATGCTGGGCCCAGCCAATGATGCCCACATCCCACAAATGAATAGGAAAAAAAAAAGAAAATGATTGTGTTAATTTCCTCTTTAACCAGCAATTGTTTCCTTTTTACATGTCCTTCCTGATTACTGAATACCCTGGGACATTCCGCTCCTGTTCCGTGGTCACCCTGCAGCCATGTCTCCGTAATCCCAATTATATCGCACACGTTTACATCTATCTGTGCAATTAATTCATTTGTTTCTTTGCAAATGCTCCATGCATTAAGGCACAAAGCCTTTAAACTAGTCTTTTTCATATCATTTGTCTTGCTCTTATTTTTCTCAATAGCCCTATTTGAACTTTTTCCTTGGTTTCTCTGCCTATCACTATCTCTAATCCCTTTCTACCTTTCTGTTTTTGTCCTTGCTCCCCCCTTTCTAACTCCTTACATGGGTTCCCATCCCCCAGGCGCATTAGTAAAAACCCTCCCCAACCTCGGACAATACAAAGATTGGTAGAGTTGCAGATAGTAAGGACGATTGTCAGAGGATACAACAGGATGTTGAACATTTGGAGGCTTGGGCAGAAAAATGGTAAATGGAGTTTAATCTGGACAAATGTGAGGTGACGTGATGTACAGGTGGGAATTATACAGTGAATGGCAGAACCCTTAGGAGTATTGATATGCAGAGGGATCTGGGTGTGTAGGTCCACAGATCACTGAAGGTGGCAGCGCAGGTAGTAAAAAAAGGCCTATGGCATGCTTATCTTCATTGGAAGGGGCACTGAGTATAAGAATAAACCAGTTATGCTGCAGATTTATAGAACTTCAGTTAGGCCACATTTGGAATATTGTGTACAGTTCTGGTCACCACACTACCGGAAGGGTGTGGATGCTTTGGAGAGGGTACAGAAAAGGTTTACGAGGATGTTGCCTGGTCTGAGGGATTTTAGCAATGAAGAAAGGTTGGCTAGACTGGGTTTGTTTTCACTGGAACGCTGGAGGTTGAGGGGGGGAACCTGATAGAAGTTTATAAGATTGTGAATGGCATGGATAGAGTGGAAAGTATAAGGCTTTTCCCCAGGGTGGAGGGGTCAATTACTAAGGGACACAGGTTCAAAGTGCAGGAGGGGAAGTCTAAAGAGATGTGCGAAGCAGGTTTTTCACATAAAAGGTGGTGAGTGAACGGAAAGTGTTGCAAGTGGAGGTGGTGGAAGCAGACACAGTAGCAGCATTCAAGAAGCACCTGGACAAACACATGAATAGGAAGGGAATAGAGGGATACGGATCCTGCAAGTGAAGATAGTTTTAGCATTGAAGGGCAAAATGTGTGGCGAAGGCTTTGAGGGCCAAAGGACCTATTCCAGGGCTGTCTTGTTCTTGTTCTTTGTTCTTTGCTGAAATTTTCTTTGTTGGTTTCAGACACTCCCGAGATCTATTGGGAAACTGAAGAAACTAACAAATCTGAATGTGGATCGGAATAGACTCGTGGCTTTACCAGCTGAATTGGGAGGTTGTGTGAGTTTAAATGTGCTGAGTCTCCGTGACAACCGGCTGACACATCTCCCACCTGAACTTGCAAACGCTTCAGAGATTCACGTGCTGGATGTGGCTGGTAACAGGTAGGAAGTGGAGTTATAGTAAACAGGACTGAGTTGGGAGTTGCACGCTGGCCCGTAAACTGGAGGCAGCGCGGAGTTGCACG